CCTTTTTAGCGGATTAAGAATTTTGAAATCCTGATAACAGGTGGTTGACATATGTTTTCTTCAGTAACCACCACAAGAAAAAAAAAGCTAGAAATGACAAAAAAAAATTAAATAACTGTTATGTAAGCAGCAAAGTTCCAGGAAATTAAAGAGACCTATCTGAGAGATGTAACATCAGGAGAGCCATCAAGTGCTCACTAGCAAACCGTTATAGATGCAAATGGTAATCAAAACAAAAGAGGAAAAAAGCTTCCGATCATTTGCATATGGCAAATGTTCAATCAGGTTTGCTTCCGTAACCCGCCGTAGAGCTTCTACAGAGGATATCGCAATCCTCCTAATGTACGGCAAGCAGAACACAAATGCACGGTAATAGAAAAACTTTTTACATTCACTCACTTTCAAGTGTTGCATATCAGAAAAGTCATCAACTAGAATTATTTCAGTAAGCAGTGGTTCAGGAGTCCTTTCGAGAACACTATGCACAGTACGTAGGAGAACGGACCAAGCTTCATTATGGAAGCATATAATAACAGAAGTTGCTGGAAGATTATCTGAATATTTTTCAGTTTTACACCTAAAAGAGATAATTTTATTCATTACTAAAAAACTATGATTAAGAAAAAGAATTTTTTAACTAAATGAAAACTTTGGAATAATGGACTAAATTCATACTCCTCATCAATATTGCTAGGGAGCGAACGGTGAATTGAGATCATATCAGAAACGTATTGGTTGAAAGCATTATTTATAAAACCACGATCATATTTTTGCCTCTCTTCAGGAGAGAGCTTCTGAAAATTCACTCTTTGAACAACTTCAACTAAAACTCACAGCGTATTGAAACATCAACATTACCCCTCTAAATAATTATGAAATCACTGCAAACTTTAAACAGAGGGTTTCCGATTAATTTTCTCAAGAAAACGCACAATCTAGAAAAAGTGAAGTGAAAATTGTAAAACAAAAACCAACAAATTTATAAACTTCAAAAACATACTTCCTTATCGATTTTCACTGCTTGTCCCATCTCACCGGCCTGGTTTTTATCACCTTTTCTATAAATTGGAGAATCTGCATCGACATTAAAGTTAACTGAAGTTGGTATGGCACCATCCTGAATAAAACTTTATAGAATTTTTTTGTATTATCAGAAGAAAAAAAAGACGAAAGTTAATAGTAGCAGCTCTGAACATAACCTTGTATTAAACATACTAGTACAGCCAAAAAGGGCTGATATAAAAAAATTAGGAGTAGAGAATTCATGAATTTGCCATGATAAAGCACCTCTTTCGGTTTCTTTTCCTCAACTTTTTCAACAATGTCCTCATTCATCTTCATCGGAGGACCGAAACCTTCAATTACTTTTTCCTTTGGTGTCAAAACATTTTTTGAATTCCGTATCCGTAATTCGTCAACGTCAACAACTTCGACCTGATTAAAACCATTTATAGCTCCCTTGTATGAACAACAATTTTTGATCAGTAAATTTAGCGGAAGAAAGCACACTAATACATCAAAAAAAACTGAAAAAAAATGAGAGAAAAAAATAAAAATTGTGCATCCAGTTTAACTCAGTAGATCAGCATAAGAAGAAAAAATTGTTCTGAACTGTCAAAAATACCTTGTTGTCGCTACCCGTTACCGCAAAGAAGAACAAAGCGCACAACCAAACCGTAGGAACGATTAACAGGAATTTCAGGAACAGAGTGCGCCTACGAGGCACCTTCATGACCCTGTGGAAATCCGTCTTGGAGAGGCAAAACCCTTAAATGGGTGCCTTTGAAAGAACAACGTTCACTGCCTTTTAGTGTTCTTCCAGTGCTAATGACGACCCAATTGTTTTCGGCCGCCTGAGCTACCTGAAAAACTAACTGCTACAACTATGTTTTCAAAGCAGTGGTTACGTGCTAGAATAAGCACTCGTATTTACTCCTAAAAATCCTCCTCAAATATTATAAATTATTAAAAGACGCAGCAAAAAAGCAAACTAAATGCAATAATAAACCTCGAACAGGTCAATTATCATAAACACCAACTGCCTTAACGGAAAATCTGCAAGAACTCGGCACGTGTTGCAACTGCACGCTAGGAAACATTTACCGAAAAAAAAGTAGGAATACAAAACAGTAATCAACAAGTAATACTTGATATCAAACATGAGCAACAATAACAGAAAGTCAGCCAATCCACGAAGTGCACCAAACAGCCCCACAAATTCACATCATCCATGCGCTTTCTCTTGTGGTCATTTTACCGACACACAATAGCAGCTCGATTCAACCAGTGGCTTCGAAAAACCTCATGCGGATAGAAAACCAAATATTTTTCTTTTTCGTTTGTAGCTTAAATTTAAAATTCACATAAAGTTCTAAATTTCACATAAATACCGCTTTTCTAAGTCATGAAAAGAGAAGAAACTTTTAAGCGCCAGTGAAAAAAAAAAGAAACACGAGTACAGCAGACTGTCTCTAGTTGTCAGCCTATCTTTAAAATTAAAATAACTAGCTGATCGACTGGTCAGTCAATCATCAGTTGAAATTCAACTGCAAAACACCCAAATTCTGATCACTTAATTACCGCTGCAAGTAATGTTTCCATAACTGACGGGTCCTGATATACCTAAGTAAAAAGGCACTCCGTCCCACCAGTTCAACAACTCCACTTAATTGCTCAAGATTAATTGAAATTGGTCAAAACAAATCTAAGCTTTTTTAAAACAATATTTCAATGATTATTTACCATACACTGCCACCAAGTCACCCAGTGAAACTCAAATTTTGATTTAAAAAAGAAAAAGTAACTTTCGTCAATTCTTCGACCATCTCTCCTCCTTAAAAGAAAAACTAGGCTGCCTCAGCTAGTCACTAGTATGGCCTTTTCTAATTTTATCCACTTATCCAACAAAAGTCATCAATTCTCATGCTATTGTGTATGTGTTTCAAGTAACCATCTACACCTCATCTGACAAATATGTAGCATCGGTAATCTGATGGCTCACAATTGAGTGGTTTGATTACTTTTCAGAAGAAAAAATATCACATCGACTCGAAATAATGCGATCAAAAAAAAACGTTTTAGATTGAAAGAAATGAAAATCCAGATTTTTTTCTTTGATTAAAAGATACACGCACTGTTCTTTCCATACAGTCAACTGATTTCAAACGCAAATAAAGACCACAAAAAAAACGAGATAACTTTGTTTCAAAATTGAAAGAAAGACAAGAAACCATATGAACAACAGCGACAATTAAAAAACAGGACGAATTCACTAAGGTAATGATGTTCATCAAAAAGCCAAAATTTGAAGGAACACCCCAACAACAGTAAAAAGTTTCTTCAACTGATCACAGTGCGATAGCAATCAAGCAGTCTCATTAACTGGATATATGTACATCTTCGCGTACTCATTTCGTTTTTGAACCAGAACCCATATAGTCTAAGGCCAGCATTAAGTGACCAGTGGCTAGCACAAAGTCCTACTATGCTAACGAAAGCAGCAACATACCGACTAAGAAACAGACAGAAGCAGACAACCAAAAGCCGCAGCAGCAGCAGCAGCGACAACAATCAGTAGTCACAGCCATGCAATTCGGTAATCATCTTTTCCTTTGACGCAATGCGCACGCCATCGCCAGCTTGGCAGTGCCCCTCCATTACCCGTCCCACTCCTCTTAACGCCTGTTCCCTCCCCCCCTCTTCTTCCCTCCTTTCCATTACTGTCTCCTTCAAACTTCTCTTTCTCCTCGTCCACTTTCTTCCTGTTTCTCGGCAAGCGACTCCATTGTCAACATAAACCAAAGTATAATTGTTTTAATATTTCAGCAAACCCTGCACATTCTGGTAACGGCATAACGATAACTCGTCTTATGTTGTTTCATCCAAAAAACTTTCCAAACAGTGATAAATGTTGAATGTAGAACTGCTTATTTAGTAGAAGCCGAAGAAATCAGCTAAGCAATCCCCTTAACACAGTTTTGGGTTTAACCGGTCACTTGATTTCTAAAGCACCTACAAACAATAAGGCATATCGTTGATAAGTTCAATTAAACCTCTATACCTTAATTCTTCTTTCTTCTTGAGCATTCCTTCCGCAATCCTATTTCTTTCCACTGAATAGGGAAACAATTTCATTTTTTGTCTTCAGTTGTCCATTGATTCAATTTTTGCAGACCTTGACGTTGTACAACAAGTATACAAATTTTTGCTCAGTACCGCTCATTTGTTTTTAGCAAACTGCGCTTACCCCCCAACCTTGCAGTCTAAATTTATCCCCACCTTACTCCTCCCTGTCCGTAACCAATTATTTTCTTAAACTTCTGCTGTATTTTGCAGTAACCTATAAATACAGTTAATTGCTTGAAAATTTACTGGCATTATACTGCGAAAACGAAGCAACTAAAAGCCTTTAAAAAATCTTAACAACTAGATATGACTAAGTTACCGTGACACCCAGCAGAACTTTTATGTACTCAAAAAAATCATCAAAAAAAAAGAACAAGTAGAAAAGTTTTTCTTTTCAAAATATTCAATTTTAATAGAACGAAAAAAAAAAACAACAAATTACTTGCTTCAATAATGCACGATCTCTGCTTTCAAATGAAAGTATCGGCAAACAAAAAATTTCTCGTTTTTTTTTTTTTTTTTGGCTTTATTGTTACTTTCGTTTTAATGGCCTTCTCCAAAGAACACGATCCTCCCTTTCATAGAATATCCTCCAAATTCTCAAGGAGTTATTCCTGCAAGATAAAATTTTTTCATACTTACATGTAGAACCAAAAAAGAGAAAGAGGAAGGACAAATGTGCAAATCCCAATGTAAAAATGGAGTATTACAGAAAAACTTTGTCATCAGAATCAAAATAAATTATAATTTTTTGAATGGTTCAAAGTGAAAGCACCGAACACCCTTTTAACAGAATCAAAAAAAAAAAAAAAAAAATGTTGAAAGCATCAATTACCATTTGCCATGTATATTGCTCATACATTAACTTCATTATACATAAATATCAAAAAAAAGAATGTAGGGGGAAGGAAACATGAAGAAAGGGAATGAAAAGCAGCCTTTTTTAATCTGAAATCAAAAAACCATTGTAGAAAAAACTTGTACAGCTGAGAAATACCTAATCAATTTCTCTTGCTTTATTAATTTTTTATCTTTTTTTTTCTCAGCTTTTTCATCGGACAAAAGTTGTATGAATGACTAACTGAATGCCAAAGCAACTTTGCTGCCTGTGCTTTCCCAAACTAACTTATGCAGGTATGGCGCGCTAGACGATTGCACCAGAAAACTGTGCATTCAACAGCAGCCTTTTATGCCCAAATATTGGTTTTACCAGCAGTTATACAAAAGAAAAATTCAACCTTCAGCTAATATCTATCTGTTCATGCTGTCAAAATCAAATAGGCAAAAAATTAATCGAATCAACTGAATGCTAACATAGTGGAAGGAGAAGACAACTGTTAGAAAAAACGAAATGTGAACCATTTCTTTTTTTTTTTTTTTCCAAAGCAAAAATTATATTCCGAAAAGCTCTTAACAATGACAAATACAGTAAGGCAATCTAAAAGAATTAAGGAATTATATATTGATATTTAAAGTAGTTTCAATGCAGTATAAAGATACATAAAGCAAAAATAAAAATTTTGACTAAGAAAGCTTTGATGTTTCTTCAGTTTACTTAAACCGTTAGTACTAAATTTAAATAGTAAACGGCAAGTTGCACTACCAAAAATTCAGATTGACCATTTCAGTCCGATACTTAAAACATATTTGGGCGGTTAACTGTGTTTACAAGAATTAAAATCAACTGAACTTTTAAACTCCGGCAGAATATTAGTGCAGGAAACGACAGGTTAATATGTTGTTGTAAAATTACTGACTGTAAAATTTAATTGGTTTTTTAATCGCTAACTCAAGCAAGAAAAAAGAAATTTTAATATTTCTTTTACACTGACTATTTAAGAAAAAAAAATCTGATTATTCCTACTGGAAAATTCTGAAGATTTATTGTAGGAAACAGTTTAATGTAATCATCTTAACCACCAGAATAAACTGTCAATAATTTTAACAATCTTCGGTACTCCCTTCTTTCCTCAAAGTCAATACAATTTACAGCTCAGCTAAATAAAGCACCACAAATGCAGCTAAACGATAGTTTTTGACAAAAAAAAAAAAAAAAATTAGATTATAAATTTTTATTTCCTTCGTCATAAAACTGTTTAAAGTTGGCACTAAGTTGAAAATTTTAAGTCCCAAACATATACGGAATAAATATATGAATTAAAAAATGTGATAAGATCTCTGAGATTCAAAGTACTGAACGCCCTCAGAAAAACTACGCATATTTCAACTAAAAATTATTGGCTTTAAACTTTATATTGTTCGTAAAAATGCCTTACATTGAGCGTTGCTCCTTTACCTTATCGTGTTATGCGGCTAAAACTGATGAGATTATGACAACAACATAAAAACTTTGGAACAGTGTAATAGAATATACAATATAAGGTCGTCCAAGACGACTGCTCAACCAGGCAACCATTCCTACACATTTTTTCCGGCGTTTAAAAATGGCTCTTGCCTTCAAAGCTTTCAGCGGCAGACAGTCAAACATCAAATACCAATTCGCCCACCAATAATAAAAAAAATTTTTGCCATGCCAACAATATTAAAATATCACAATTACCGATACAGAAAAAAAAAAAAAAAAAAAAAAAAAA